CTGCCCAGACGGAGGAGGAGAAACATGCACGGGCTGGGAGCCAGGTTCCCATCTCACTGGGGAGGGGAGTGGGGGGAGCTGGGGCCTAAAGCAGGGAGCTGATGATGAGTCTCTGCCGCTGACTCACCACGTGCCCCAGGGACATGCCCTTTGCTCCCCCCCTCCTCCTCTTTCTGCCTCTCCCCATCCCAGAACCAGTGCTGGACCAGCTCTCCCAGCTCCCACAGCCCTGCTAGCAGCCCCCAGCCCTGGGACAGCCACCCCCCTCCCACCCCAGTGCACGGTCCCTGTCCCAGCCCTGCTCCCCCAGGGGAGTTTCCATTGGAAGTCCCTGCCTGCCCCAGCCCTGCTGCCCTGCTCCCCCAGGGAGTTTCTACTGGAAATCCCCAGGCTGGGAGCCACCACCTTGTGCTTTCGCTTTCACAGCTGGGCTAGGGGGGGCGGGGGGGGAGGGGTTGCATTCCTCCCCCCCCCCCCCCCCCCCATGCCTCCAGGGGCTGGGGCACACAGAGGGGCCCTTTGACCTCCCACCTGCCCCCTCCTGGAGCCTCTAAATGTGCTGGGGGCAGGGACACCCCCAGGTGGGGCAGTGTGGGGGCACGCAGGGAGCCGGGGGGCCTGGGTGCCTGAGCTCTGCCCATGCTCCCCGCATTAGAGACAGAAGCCAGGACAGCGGGCTCTCGGGCAATCTCGGCTTACCTCTCTCAGACCTGGGGGAGACCCCAGGAGGCCCCCGCTCTAACCACGACTAGATCTGACTCATGCTCCCCGCATTAGAGACAGAAGCCAGGACGGCGGGCTCTCGGGCAACCTCGGCTTACCTCTCTCAGACCTGGGGGAGGCCCCCGCTCTAACCACGACTAAATCTGACTCCTCTCCCCTACTAGGGAAAGGACCAGGAGCCCAGCACTAACCCCAGCAGCTACTAGCCCTCAGGAGCCCTGGTGCCCGAGGCCCGGGTGCCCTCTGCCGGCTGCAGCTGTCCTCGCTGGCAGGATCTCAGGTGATTTCCGAGAAGTCACCCAGGGCTGAGAGCGGTCATGAGACAAATGAGCCGTTTGTACGGGCACCAGGCCAAGGCCCAGAGCCCACAGCTGCTTCCCTGCCCACAGGAACAATAACCAACTGCCTTTTATTAGGGAAACGTCCCAACCGAAGGCTCTTGGCCCATTCGCACATGGGCAGGGGCACAGCTGATCCCTGGGCTACTGGATCCCAGTGGATGGGGCAGGGGGTAACAGGGGTGGATGGACCCTTAGGCAAAGGGGGCTTGGCTAGGCCAGGGCCCTGGGGAGTGGGTGATGGGAGAGCTGTATGCAGATGGGAGCAAAATACAGGTGGCTCCTGCCATCTTCATGTTTGTGGAGGGTGGAAGGACATGGTTGCAGGAGGGAAACTGAGGCACAGGATATTCTGAGGCCATGCCCAGGTCCCTGGCCCAGGTGAGAGGCCTGGTGGGACAGGCACCCTTGCCATGCCAGCTGGCTTCACGCAGGTGTCAGACTTTTCTCTCTGGCTTTAGGAGAAAGCTTCACTGTTTTGTGCATCAGTTGTGTCTGTGTCCACACACTTAGGGCTAGCAACACACACGCACACACCTGCACATGCAAACACAGGCGGATATGCACATAAACACACGCCCACACACATGTACACACACACAGATGTGCACAGAGGTATGCATACACATGTACACATGCACAGGTGCACACATACACTTCAGATGCTTGTCCACCCAGCTCCAACACACAGCACAAGTGACAGGGGTCCCAGGCACACCCATGGCGCACACAGCCATTGTGGGGGGTGCTGGAGTGGCCCATCAAGTCCTGGCCCAGCAGCTCCCCAGTTTATGCAAGGCATGCTATATGCCATGCCCCCTCCCAGCCCCTCACCCCTACAGCATCTTGTGGATACCCTCCAGCCCCCTCTGCATCTTGTTCCAGCCTACCACCGACCATGTGAATAGCAGTCCTCCTGCTGCTATCCCACAATGCTGGGATAGCAGCATTGTGGGATAGCAGCTGGCACAGCTGGCACGGCCTGCTCCAGGTCCCTCTGGGATGGAGCTGGGGGCTTGGAAACACAGGAACACCCAGCTGGTCCTCAGCCTCCCCCCGACACCATCTGCTGCCCCCAGCTGCCCCAATGCCCTAGGGTCCCCTTTGCCCTGTTGGACAAGGCACCTCCTGACCCCACTGTGGGCCTGAGTGTGAGGGCAGGGGTATCGAGCAGGAACCACCTAGGGCAGCATGTGCACAGGCCGCTCTGTGGGTAGCCAAGCCTCTGGGATAGCCAGCAAGGAACTGATGCAGAGACACGCAGCTCAGTCTTCTGCTATTAGCCCTTCTATACACAGTGTTCCTCCCTTGGGAACCAACATGCGGTGCGTTGCATTAGCACAGTCCCTGGTCAGCAGCTGCAGTCCCCTCCCAGGCACCTCTCATTAGAGAAGCAGAGATGCTCAAGGAAGCATCTCCAGCCGCCTTGTTCAACAGCCATTAATAGATACATCATACATGAATTCATCCAATCGACCCCAGTTCTGCTCTCTGCCTCTGAGCAAGGGGCTCTTATCAGGAACCCCTGAGAAATGAGACTCCGGCCTGTCTGTGATCAGAGCTGCACTGCAAGCTGAGACTCCCAATTCAGGGACAGTTCCACCTCCCTTACCGATTCCTTGCGTGGTTCACCAAGTCATGGCACCATCCCATTTCCCAGGGATTCTCCATTCCCTCTTGGTAGAGAAGGCATTCCTACTGCCCACATCAGATACCAAGACCAGAGGCAGGACTATAACCCAACCTTTTATTGATGACACCCAGAGCATAAGAATAAGCATTTGTCTCCAAGCCTCTCAGCTCCCCGCACCAGCACAAGGCACCTTCTCACCTCTACTGGCCAGGGGGAATGCAGAAGAGAGGAGGAAAGTGGCCTGGTGGCTGACAGTAGGTTGCCTCAACTTTGCAGGTTTTCCCCAGATCTCTGCTGTTTCCAGACCATACATGTATGTGGCTCATTTAAATAAACATTCTTCCATTCACATTTGTTTCTTTCCCTGAGACTGGGAACAGGACTGAACCAGTTGTCCTGTGCACTTGACTGGGGCTGGCGTCCTCAAGAAAAGCACAGCTCTGGAGAGAGGAGCACTTCTTATCTCCTTCCTGCCCCATCTGGGAATGCTCCTTGTCCCATCCTGTTGCTTCTGCTCGGCTGGCCAGGCCAAGTGTAGCGCAGAGCAGGTGACTAGCGCAACACAGCAGTGGCTGCTCCTTCCTGCTGTGACACCTGTCCAAAAAGCAGCTATTCCTACTTGACTCAATAAACACATTCTTATTCCACTTTCTCAGGCTATGGCTTGTGGTGTAGCAAGCCTATTGGTTCTGGATTGCCTACCAGCATAAGCACAATATCATTCATAGCTCAGGTTTTGAGAGTCTGCGCTGCCCAGTGTGGTCTGGCAGCCACTGGCCATGTCTACAGCCTGCAGGGTGTGCGGGCCGGGAGCGGTCCGAGGCCTTCGGGGGCGTGCGGCGTGGGTTGGGGAATTCGGCACGATGGACTAGAATTAGGCACTGACGCGTAGAGGTTGATTAAAGATTATTTTACTTACACCGTAGATGGTCGCGGTGCAGGCAGGAAAACTTGCTTGTGTTGCAGTTACAGACAAACACGTGGAGTTTGCTAGGCTCCACCAAAGACACACAAACAGAGTTTGCTAGGCTCCGCTAAACGAGCACAAACAAGACCCACAGAAAACTCAAGCCTCTTGTTAACAAACCGGACAGAGCTCTGGAGACACACACACGGAGTTTGCTAGGCTCCGTGGAACGAGCGCGCAGGGCAGGGGTTCGTCGAGGGATAGCGTTCGGCGACGGGGAGAGGCTAGAGGTTGATCAGGCCCCGGTATCCTCCTCTAAGGCACACGCGGAGTTTGTAGGCTCCACAGCATGCTTAGAGTTCTTCATGAGATGGATGTGATGTCCTCCTCTTCCTCCAACTTGGGCGAAAACCGCTCAAGCCTCTTATACGGCTAGCAAGCCAATCGCTAGCCACCACATGGAAATAATTTAGAAACAGCCAATAGTGGGACACTAATTTGCATACGTGTGGCGGGAACTCTTTTGCACCGGGGTTTTCTCTATGCAACTGAGAATTGCACCGTGCAAAGAAAGCTCCATGTGGCGGGAAATAATTCTGCAGTGCCGAAGCGCACACAAAATCATACCCATTGGGTCATGACACAGGGCTGGACTAGATGTGACCTTAGGAGGTCCATAGTTTCCTAGGATCCTATCATCCTACAGTCCTATCCCCACACATCTGGTGGCTTTAGAGAAAAAAAACAAAAAACAAAACCTGGAGGCATGCTGCTTTTCAGGAGAAGGGAAGCAAGTACATGAATAAATGAGCTAACTGGCTGGAGAGTCAGAGGCAGGCAGCTGCCTGGAGAGAGTCCTGGTCACCCGGCCCCAAACACAGATAGAGGAGAAACACAATCTTCTGCAATGCAAGAGCCAGAGATGCAGAGACAGGGCCCCCAGGCAGCAGAGACTGGTGTTGGGTCTGGGGTCCTGCTGCCTCAAGCCGGGGTGTCCCTGGTTTTCGGTTGCTGCCCCGAGGAGGAGGTCGGTTTGGAATCATCTCAGCTTTTGGCTGCCAAAAACGGGAAACATAATTTAGTGGCAGCAATGGCCTACAGGGTCTCAGCAAGATAAGGGGCCCTCTCCCCTACCCCAAATTCCCTGGGATGTGGAGTCAGGATTTACTCACTGCTTGCTGGAGTGTAGCTGGATTGAGCAATGCCTGGAAGCCAAGCAGAGAGAAAGGGGAGAAAGAGTTAATCCTCCCCGATGTGCCCAAGAGTAGACAATTCCCCAGGTCCACCTGACAACAGGGCCCCCGGTGCCCCAGCCAGTGGCACAGGCCAGAGCAATCAGCTCAGGCTCTCTGCACTCAGGCAGCCTTGCTGCAAGGAGCTCCCACCTCTTAGAGCCACAGCTCAGCCTGTGTGCAGTACCAGGTGGGAATGGGCTCACCCCTGCCCCAGCCTCATTTGCTAGCGGTTCTCACCCCAGCCACCGGAGAGAGGAATTTAGGCTACTACTACCCCCGCAGTTAAGGTCAGCCCTGAGGGCCCTCCTCACCCCACTGCCACCCATTGGAGCTGCCACTCCTCTTCACATGGCTGGCAATGGGGGCATATGGTATGTAGAAGGAGAGACAAGCTGTGGGCCAAGAGATTCCTAGAAGGGCTCCACACAAGGGTGATTCCTGGTCCCCGAGCAGAGCCCTTCTAGGTACGTCGCAGCTGTGACTTGTCTGTTCTTCTGTGCCTGGCTACGGTGAGGGGTATATGCACAGACTGGCAGACAGCTGCGGGGTTGGTACAGGGGGGCTCCCTGGGCTCTCATTGCTGCCAGAGTGGGTGCGATGATCACTGAATGCCCCAGCTTCACCCCAGATATGCACCATGCCCAGCTGGGGGGGGGAAATGTCCCTCCCTCTACTGCTGCCAGTTCCTCCCGCAATGTGAGGACCCTCTTACCTGCTGACTTTATCCAGACAGTGGCACAGCCTAGGACAGAGCCAACCAGGATTATACCCCCAGCTATGATAAGGACAGCCAGGACCACAGGCAACAGGGTCACTTTCTTATCAGGGACTGCGGGGAGCGGAGAGAAGAAGTTACTTGGGGCAGCACACACCAGGGATGCACCTTCTGGGGATGGGATGAAGGACCTCTGCTGTTTAGTCTGCACCACCCTGGACCCTGCCCTCTCCCTCAACATGGGCTTGTTGTTGGCCTGTGGAACTCCCTATCGCAGGACCCCCTCCAGGCTGAGAACCGTGTCTCTGGGGCATGACAGTGCCTGGGCGAGAGCAGTGAATGCTGCCTGTGCGCAGGAACACCTGAGGTCACATGGTGCAGCTGGTCCTTCCCAGCTCTCAGAGAGGAGCCCCCCACATTATCCCCCATACAATCCTCACCCCAAGTGAGCGAAGGCTCTGGCAGGCTGCTGTGCTCCACCCGGCAGGCGTAGCGGTGCATGGCGGATGCAGGGCCAACCTCCAGGGACGTCCAAGTGTAGAACGTGTTGTTGGCAGTGGGCAGGATCCCGCTGGTGAAGGTCTCCAGGAGGATTTCCCCTCCCTCCTGCACCCACGAGACATGGATGGGACGTGGATAAAAGCCCCTCACGTGGCAGGACAGGCTGGCAGACCCGTCAGTGGCATCTTTGCGGGACACCAACACCATGGGGGAGACTAGGGAGGCAGGAAGACATGAATATAGCGATAAGCCTGGGTCTCAGACAGCCTCAGAGAGCAACACATGGCCCCTGCGTGTGCGAGGCTTGAAACCCCATGCCTCTGTCACCGGGACCATTCACTCACCCCTCTGGGCCAGGATGGCCTTTCCCTCCTGCAGCAAGCTCTTCAGGGTTTGCAGACACTTCTCCTTCAGGTACCACTGCACAAACTGGGTCCAGGTCTCATCATTGTCCCACCGCATCTTCTGGGCAAATGCCACAGGCACAGCTGCCACCCACGTTAGCTGCTGGATGTCAAAGCTGATGAAATCCTCCCCGTCGTAGGCATACTGGAACTTCTGGTCCCCCAGAACATCACCGCTGAGAGAGCAGCCCACGTGGACCTGCTCGACGTGGAGGCCTGCACAGAAATGTCTGGTCAGCACGCGGCAACCTCACATCTCATACACTGCTCTCCAGCAGGATGGAGCATCCAGCCAGCGGCTGATGTGCAAGAGCTGCACCCGGGGGCATTAGCCTCAGTTACATCTGGCTCCACGGGATTCACTGCAGCCCCAGTTACTTCTTGGCTGTGCTACGGCCTGGCCAGCTACCCCCAGCCAGTGTGTGCACTTGGGTTCTCTTCCCATGGCACAGCGCCTGAGGCATCTTGCATATTATGCTATTAACTGGTTAACTGTGCAATAAAGACCATCCCCACATGCAAAATAATTATCCCACAATTAACTGGTTCATCACATAATAAGTGTAGACCGACCACACATGCATAGTTATCACACCATAAGATGCCCATCCAGCTATAAAAAGGGCCAATCAGCTACCACATTAGTACTTGAAATTATATATAGACTTTATAGCTAGTTCCTATCCAGCCTTCATTGAGTGTATAGCAGAGCCCCGGCATTCTTCTCTGCTGAATTTCATCTGCTGTCTAGTGCCCAATTCTCTCATTTATCCTGGTGAATTCTAGTCCTCCCAAAGATGCTGCTGTCTCTCCCAGCTTTGGGTCATCTGCAAACTGGATCAGAAAGTGCTTCATTTCTACATTGGAGTTATTGATAAAATATGCTGAACAGCACCTGAGATAGTCGAGACCTGTGTGGAGCCTTTGCTGAAACCTCCTGCCGGGCTGATATCGATCCATCTGTAGGCTCTCTTAGCTTGCACTTATTCAGGCACTCCTTCGGCCATCTCAGTGCAATGCTACCTGCCCTTATTTCTCCAGTTTCTTTAGAAGAATGCCATTTTAAAACCACCAGTAAAGTCTACCTATACTCTACCTCTATAACCCCCAGATCCCACTTGCTAAAGATGGGCACTGTGTAAACTTTTCTTCAGCCCCTGGGAACTCCCCTCTCCCCCATGGCCTGGAACCATTTCTGCTAATGCCTCCAGGATTTCTTTGCTTCCATCCCCAGCATCGCAGGAGGAATTTTTCAGGCCCTGCATGTAAAGAGCACAAGCCCAAGTACCTGTTTTCCTGAACACAAGACTTGGCTCAGGAGCCCAGTCCCACTTCTAGCCAAAGCCTTCTATTCATTTCTTTCTAAGGCTGAGCTTCCAGCTTGCTCAGTGTTTCTTGGTTCTGTGCTCGCACACCCGGGCAGTCATGCCTGTAAGCAAGCAAGCCTCCTTGCCCTTGTTTGATATCAGCTGCCAGGAAGAGCTGAGAAATTGGGTGCGCTTGACAGCAGCTGTGAACACTTTCAGTGTTCAGGTACGTCAGAAACAAGCCTGGGGCACTCACCATCCGTCTGGTTATACAGCTTCATCCACCTCTTTCTGTGAACTTTGGAAACTTTCTCATAGCCCTGGAATTCCAGGGTCTGTTGCTGTACATAGTCAGCACCCAGAGCCCGTTTCACCCACTCCTGGGTGGGTCTGACCTCCTGGGTGTCACTGCGGTAGTTAGCGACCACAAAGTTGTTGAGCTTGGCAATCATGAAGTAGTTGTGGGTCCCGTCTTCCTCATCAGCTCCAGTGACCAGAATGTCCAGGTGATGCAGCCCTGGTATGACAGAGGAGGCGTCAAGGATTATCAAGGAGGATATTGCACTCAACTGCACTACCTGACTGCTTAACAGCCGCACATCTCAGTGCACAACCAACACAGAAATCTTGGGATAAGGGACAGACTGACGGGAGTGTCTAGAGATGATGTTATGAAGTGTGATGGGCAATGCCTTCACAGGGAAGGTGCAACAGCGTGGTCTGGCCTTTTCAGCCAGAGCAGACAGGCTGTGATAGAAGCCCAGCTGCAGGCAGCTTAGCTACTCCGGGAGTGCCCCTGGGCAGTTAAGACCCCAGAGAGAGCCCAGCTTACCCTCAGGCAAAGCCAGGCTGCACAAAGGCAGCAGGCCTGCTGACCCATTGCAGAAGCACCTACAGAGAAAGGTGGCACAGGGCTGGGGAGAAGTGCCTCAGAGATGCCTGCTATGCTGTTGCTGTGGTTCGGCAGTTGTAGTGTTAATAATAACAGACATCACAAATCAAAACAGAGCTGTGTGGTTGCAGAGGGGCTCAGACCCCGGGGAAGGGACATGAACTGCTCACTGCACAAAATCCTATGGACAGGAGGGCATGTGTGCAAAGACATCCTGGTGCAGGTCAAACTCACCCCCTCCTCTCTCTTGCACCTTTGTTGCTGCCTGGGCCCCAGGATGCAGCTTCAACAGGTCTGTTCATGGGAACTGCACTGTCCCAATGTTGTTGCCACCCTCAGCCAGGCGATGCTCTGCTCCCTCCCTTCTCAGTTAGTATGCCTAGGCCTATGTCCCTCTAGGTGACAAACAGGCCTGTCCTACCCAATGCTCCCAACACGGGCCCTTATTTGTAACTCACCACTAGCAGCTGCTGCTCCCAGAAGTCCCCAGCACATCCATAGGGCCAGAGCCCAGGCCATTGTCCCAGGTTGGGGGGAGAGATCCTGGCACTGAAACTGCAGGAAGGGCAGGGCCCAAAGTTCCAAAACTGGATGAGTCCGTCTAGAGCAGGGACAGGCAATTATTTGGGCCGGGGGGGGCCACCCAGGGGTCAGCACCCCAAAAGTGCCTGCATGCCCCCCACCCCAAATCCAGGCCCACCACAGGGCTGGGGGCACCAGCCTTTGCTACCCCTTCTCCCCATACCCCCGGGGCTGCCCTGTGCGCGGCGGGGGCGGCTGGCACAGGTCGTGCCTGCCTGGCAGAGCCCGGAGCCCCACGACTCTGGCCCCATCCCCGTCAGTGGGGCTCCCCCGAGGTCCCAGCCCGGCCAGGCAGGGCTGAGCGCAGCCTCGCTGAGCAGGAGTTGCTGGGAGATCAGCCTGCCCAGAGCCACCCTGGGCCGGGTCATGGGATGAGGTGGCAGGGACGGCAGTGGGCGAGAGGCATCACTTGTGCGCAGGCAGAACTGCTGTTTTTGGGTTACCAAAAGGAAAGGCGGAAAAATAAGCGTGCTAAGAAGAGCGAGAGCAGGGGTGGGCTGCTGTATGGTGAAGTCAGCAACAGGCAGGGGAGTTCCCCTCCTAAATCAGCCGTTCCCAACCTTGGAATCCTGAACCCATTTGGGGTTGCAATGATAAAAACTAGGGTGGAGCACTCCCAGGGAAGGGGTGAAGGGGCATGTGCCTCCCAGATTTGTGTGCAGGGTGGGGGAGATATGGGCTGTGCACTGCGGGCTCGGGGCTCCCCTCCCTGCTGCCCGCCCCCGGGGCCAGGAGGCTCAGTGCCACCGTCCAGAGCCTCATGCCAATTGAACTGCCATGGTGAGGTGCCCCCAGCCTGCCTGGCAGAAGTGGGGGGCACAACTCCGTGCTGCTGTGGTTGCTCCTGTGGGCAGGGGGTGCCTTGCCTTGGCAGCACAACCATAGTTTCATAGTGGTTAGGGGCATGAACAGCACATGCCCTCAGTGGCTGGAGGGGCACGGCGGTGGTAAGCAGGGAGCTCCTGCAGATGCTGCCGGCACTGATGGGAGAGGTGGCAAATGCTGATCAAAGGTCAGTGACCACCCACAGTCTCTGGTGGCCAGCGGGGATCGCGGACCACCCGTGGACACCACTGGTGGTGTCAGCAGGGGGGTGGTGAGCGGCAACCACCCACAGGCACCGCCGACAGGGGTACACAGCCACACTCAGGGGGTGCATGTGCACCTGCATGAACTACACCTCCCTCCACGTCACCCCTGGTTAGGGGCTGGAAGGGACCTTACAGATCATCAGGTCCAGACCCCCTTCACGTGGGCCAGAAAGACTGCTGGGATTGGATGACACAAGCTAGGTGGGCAAAAAGACGCTTTTTGAAGATCGCCAGGGTGGATGATTGTAACACTTCTGGGGGGAGCCTGTTCCAGACGCTTGGCACTCGGCTTGTAAAGAAATTTCTCCCGATGTCTAGCCTAAAGCAACCCTCAATCAGCTTATGCCCATTATTTCTTGTCCTCCCCTGGGGGACCTTGGCGAACAGATGCTCCCTCAGGCCCTGATGTATACCCTTGATATACAAATAGGCTGCCACCAAGTCCCCTCTAAGTCTTCCCTTTTTCAGGCTGAACAGTCCCACGTCTTTCAGCCTCTCCTCATGTGACCTGGTCTCTAATCATGTGTGGTCCTCCTTTGGACTCTCTCAAGCCTCTCCACAACCTTTCTGAAGTGCAGTGCCCAGAACTGGAGGCAGTGCTCCAGCTGCGGTCTCACCAAGGCCGAGTAGAGCGGGAGGATGATATCCTTAGCCTTATTTGAGATGCCTCAGTGGGTGCATGCCAATGTTTGATTAGCTCTGCCAGCCACAGCATCGCATTGGTGGCTCATGTTCAGTTTAGGGTCTATCACAACACGCAGGTCTTGTTCAGTTGTGGTGCTGACAAACATAGCACTGCCGAGCCTATAAGTGTGTTGTGGATTATTTCTCTTCAAATGGAGCATTTTACATTTCTCTGCATTAAATGACATCAGGTTGAGGTCTGCCCATATCGTGAGCCTGTCCAGGTTAACCTGTATTGCCAGCTTATCTTTGAGCATGACCACACTCCCACAAAGTTTGGGGTTGTCAGTGAACTTTGCTAGTTCACTCTTAGTACCTGAATCCAAATCATTGATGAACATATTGAAAAGCACTGGTCTGAGAATATTGGAATACCGTGTGCAGTTTTGGGCGCCGCACTTCAAGAGGGATGTGGATAACCTGGAGAGGGTCCAGAGAAGGGCCACTCGTATGGTTAAGGGCTTGCAGGCCAAGCCCTACGAGGAGAGACTGGCGCACCTGGACCTCTTCAGCCTCCGCAAGAGAAGGTTGAGAGGCGACCTTGTGGCTGCCTATAAGTTCATCACGGGGGCACAGAAGGGAATTGGTGAGTATTTATTCACCAAGGCGCCCCCGGGGGTTACAAGAAATAATGGCCACAAGCTAGCAGAGAGCAGATTTAGATTGGACATTAGGAAGAACTTCTTCACAGTTCGAGTGGCCAAGGTCTGGAACGGGCTCCCAAGGGAGGTGGTGCTCTCCCCTCCCCTGGGGGTCTTCAAGAGGAGGTTGGATAGGCATCTAGCTGGGGTCATCTAGACCCAGCCCTCTTTCCTGCCTATGCAGGGGGTCGGACGCGATGATCTATTGCGGTCGCTTCCGACCCTAGCATCTATGAATCTACAAGTACTGAACCCTGAGGGATGCCACTGGCCACCCTTTGCCATGATGGCTCAGTCTTGTGAATCAATACTCTCTGGGTCCTACCAGAGACTGTGACCTAGCCACCAGACCATAAAATAGCTGAGGTCACACTTTTCCAATTTTTTCATGAGGATTTTGTGGGAGACCAAGTCAAAGGCCTTTCTGAAGTCCAGGTATATGACACCAACCTCATTTCCCCATCCAGGTGGTGAGTAACCACCATTGAAGGAAATAAGGTTGGTTTGGCATGACCTGCCTGTAATGAAGCTGTGTTGGCTAGCCTTCAGAATATAGCTTTCTGTTAGCCTGTCTGCAATGGATTCTTTGATCATTTTCTCCAGGATTTTACCAGGGATTGAGGTCAAACTGATTGGCCTGTAATTTTCTGGGTCCTCCTTTCTCCCCATTTTAAAGATAGGAACCATGTTGGCCTTCTTCCAACATTCTGGGAGCTCTCCCAAGCACCACGAGTCTTCAAATAACTTTGCCATTGGTCATGCAATGACATCAGCCAGTTCTTTTAGCACCCTTGGGTGTAGTTTATCTGGTCCTGCTGATCTATAGATATTTAGCCTTTGCAGGTGCTCCTCAACAAGATCTATGCTAAGTATGGGGGGTAGTCACCCCCACCCCGATCAGCCTGTATCCTGTCAAGCAGGCTAACACCCTTGGATGGGTGGAATACAAACGTGAAGTATTAATTCAGGAGTTCGGTTTTGTTCCGAGCGTCAGTTATCAGCTGTCCCATTTTATTCATTAAGGGCCTTATGCCTGCCTTATTTTGTCTCTGACTTCAACCAGTGTGGGGCTCCCAACAGTGGCACTGAGCCTTCACACCCTCCTGTGCCAGATCCCACCTACTGGGCTGTGGAGGTCCCTAGGAGGAGGGTAGCAGGGCAGGGAGTCCCGATCCTGCAGCAAGCAGCTGGCACCCCCTCCCCCGTCTCTGCTCCAGCCGTGCCACCCGCCGGTGGAAGGGGAACCTCGCTCCATGCGCTGCTCCACCACAACAGTCACTGCCTCCCCTAGGCGGCAGCTGGGGCAGGAAGTAGGTGATACCATAGGGCTGGCATCTGGGCACCCTAATGGCAGGGCTGAGGTGGGTAGGGGGCTGCAGGTTGTGTATAAGGGGCACCAGCAGGATGGGGGGGG